CCCGCCGCTGGGCCCCGGCATTTCGGGAGGCGTCCAGATGAGATGTAGCGTTTTGAAACGGACCCGAAAGTACCGCTGGGTACTGCAGTCGCCTAAAGGTTTCCCCATCTCTCCTGGTGTAATTGCCGTCGTGAATCGAGTAGATGTGAGCCAGCAGTGCGTGCAGGTGGGTAAGAAGGCCAAGGCCATCCTGGCTTCTATTAGGAGCACTGTGGCCTGCAGGAATAAGGAGGTGATCATCTCCCTGCATTCATTGCTAGTTAGGCCACATCTTGAATATTGTGTTCAGTTCTGGGCTCCTCGTTATGAGAAAGACAGAAGTGATGGAGTGTGTCCTGAAAAGGGCAATGAGGCTTGCAAAGGGCTTAGAGCATAAGCCCTATGAGAAGCAGCCGAGGGAGCTGGGGTTGGTTAGTCTAGAGAAGAGGAGGCTGAGGGAGACCTCATTGCTCTTTACAGCAACCTGAATGGAGGCTGGAGCAATGAGGGGGACAGCCTCTTCTCCCTGGTGACATGTGATAGGACCAGAGGGAATGGGTGCAAGCTGTGCCAGGGGAGGTTTGGGTTAGATATTAGGAAGTATTTCTTCACTGAAAGGGTTGTCAAGCACTGAAATAGACTGCCCAGTGAAGTGGTGGAGTCACCATCTCTGGATGCATTGTAACAGCATGTGGACCTGGTGCTTAGGGACATGGTCTAGTGGTGAGCTTGCACTGTTAGGTCTAGGGCTGAACTGGATGATCTTGGAGGCCTCTTCCAGCCAGGGACATTCTGTAATTTGTATAAAATTCAGTGGGGTCTGGTTTCTTCTTCCAAGTCCTTTACAGATGGCCTAAGAAACTGATTGTGATGTGGGGAGGAGTTCTAGGTTGGGTCATGATGTTTTAAGTGTTGTTGCAGTTGAAAAATAGAGCTGGAAAAGTAAAACTTTAAGTGGCAATATTTCCAGCACATGCAAAGGGGATCAAAGTACAAGGGTTGGAAGTTGGGTTCTGATAATCCTTTTGAAATGAAGAGTGTTTCAGCAGAAAATAAGCTGAGGAGTGCAAAAAGCACTATGAGATTAGATATATAAATTGGACTTGTTGGTCTCATGAGAGAAGTACAGTGTGCAGAGCAAACTCCATTACTGATGATTAAGTTTGTTATGCAATTGTTTACAGTTATCGTAGATAAATATGTTAGATGAAGCATCTTGAGTGAGTCATATTGTGTGGATATTATTTTCTTATGTGTGGTGTCCTTTCCTTCTATAGTATAAGTTCTTTGGAGAGCCTGTGGTAGAAGCTTGTGTTGAAAATGGCGCAAGCTACATTGACATCAGTGGAGAGCCTCAGGTATGTGACTGCAGAGAAATTACACCTTATATCATGGGTCTGTTAAAGGAGTATTTGGTTCTGTTTCATGTTTCTGCTAATGTTTTATGAACGTTAGGCAAATTCTGCCTCCAGGTACGCAGCTTTAAGATGATTAATTATTTTGAAGTACGCTAATGTGTATTAGTCACATAGTTTTGTGCTTTTAGACAAGAGCCTCTCAGGTTCTCTCTGTAAATCCAGAAGTTTTGAATTCCACTTGAAGTCTTGGTTGTGGTTCTACATAGGAATTTTGTCCAGATGACTTTTCTTTGCACTGCTGTGACGCTTTTATACTGTAAAGCAGAAATGACATGTGTCTGTCTTAAAGATGTTTGTAAGTGGTTTGAAATATGTAGGGTGCTGTGAAACAACAGGGAAGTGCTGATAGCTAGTATTGGGCATGGCCAAAAACAGAGTTCTGCTTAAAATGTTTGTTTTGACTGTGTTTTAGTTTCTGGAAGAAATGTACCTGAAATACAATGACAAAGCTGAGGAAAAAGGAGTATATGTCGTTGGAAGCTGTGGCTTTGACTCTATACCCGCTGATATGGGAGTACTGTACACCAGAGACAAGCTGAAAGGTGACTGAGTCCAGTGTGACCTTACAATGAAAAAGAAATGTAGATGATGCTTTGATAAGGTTTCCTAAAGCAGCACTGCCTCTGTAGAAACTCTCTCAGTCTCTCTCTCTGCCTGCCTCTACCAGCTGACTAGTTTCAGCCAAATCTGGTAGATAAAAATGTACATCATATTCTCATTAGATTAAGGAAAATTGGTCATAAAGAAGAGTAGGGATTCAGGGTCATGTTGCTCAGTGAGAGAACAGAGCTTTCAGTTGTCAGCAGCAGGCTGTTCAGTCAGCCTGTGGACATCCCTAGACAAGCCTCAGCACACTGCCTGTGGGGTAGGACACTGTTGTAGAGAAGAGGCAGTGGGGACAGGAGGGCTGCAGGAAAGGGATTGCAAATTAGTGGGTAATCAGATTTTGTAAGTTTTCTTTTTCTACCGCGAGTGCTGAGAGGCTGTTGTATGAGTGTAAGTAGATAGTGCCATACAATGCCTTTTTCTGTAAGAGCAGCTGGAGAGTAGCTGAAAGTGAAGAAATATATTTGAGAAAAGATGTGAGGTGCTTTAATTCTATGCAAACAGTACTTGATCCTCAAATGAGGATACTTCTTTTATCAGGTCTAACTTGCACTTACAAAGGCCAAGAAGTATCTAAATGGTTTGCTTTTGTGTGTTATTAGAAGTGTATTATTAAGTGGATTTGCTTTACATTGGAGTGTATCTCAACTTCCAATTTAAGAAAACTCAATCTAGGTCTGGTTGCACGGTGAGAAGAGCCATGGAAATGAGTATCTGGTTGCTCATGAGATGATAGTTTCATATCTGATACCTGTTTTGAGTAAAGGTATCTTTTATGTTGTAATAAAATATAATATAGCTCTTGATATGCTTTTCCTTTTTTCATTATTTACACTATCTCAATAGCTAGGTAAATAAAATTAAGTTAGTAAAGATACTATTTGTGACCTTTGTTGAAGTACTTCACATAATAATTTTGTTAAATGAGATAGCAGTAGGACTCAATCTTAGTTTCTCTTACTTGAGGATGAAGATGTGACTTTGCCTTTTCAACTAATAATGTCACTGACCTGCTGTTTGAGTGTACCAGAGTGTGCTCAGGCTTTGTGAACCAATGAATGTGTATTGGCAGCTGGACTAGTTGATCTTTGTAGGTCCATTCCCACTGCATCCATTCTATTCTATATGCCAAGTAATGGTTTTTCCTCCCTTAAAGGTACCTTAACTGCTGTTGAAAGTTTCCTTACTATGAATTTTGGACCTGAGGTTAGTTGGTTTGTACCTTCTTGGAAACCCAGGGGTATTTGTGGTAGCGTCACCATTGCACATTAAAGTGTCATTACATTAAAGTAGAGCAGTGAAGAAGCTGGCAGTTCTTTGATGATGAGTCTTAAGAACTTAATTCTTTAGAAACATTTTATAGAAACTGTTCCTAAGCAAAAGTGCTTTAGTATGGTCCATTTGCATGGGCTGTCTACCTAAACTTGGTTGTGTTAAACTGTGGTAGGAAAAACTCAGTTTTTGCAGAGTTGTGGGAAGGATTCTCACTCAAGTAATCTATAACAGATACACAGTGTGTTGCCAGTAATCCTAGTGCTTGGCTGTTTGTTTTTTTGCTTGGGACGGGTTGTTTCAATATACTTTAAAGCATGTAATCATAATGCATATATGTAAGAAAGGCAATAATGTGTAATATATTTAATAATTTTAAGATTGTCCTTAAAATAATACATGAAATCTGCAGCTACTGAATTAGTGACTGTTTGATGGTATGTTGCCAGGGTTCTTCTCTTCATGAAGGTACCTGGCAGTCAGCTATTTATTTCCTGGCGGATGAAAACAACCTGAAGACAATTCGGAAAAAGATTGGATATGCCCCTGTTCCAGTAATTGGTGCAAAACTTAAAAAAAGGTATAAGAAGGATAAGATGTGATACATGCTGTCTCTGAACATTTCCAGTGTTTATTACATAGATTGTTAGTATATTATTAAATACTAAAAGATGCATTTAGGACTTCAGTATAGTAAGAGCACATAGATGTTCTGCAAGTAGACTTTAATATAATTTCAGTTTTACTGATCTGTTTATATAGTTTACTGAAAAAACATGTCCTGCCTGTCCTCGGTCTCAAAGCTAACTTGTTCTAAGAGACTTGTAGAAACAAGGCAAACTTTTGAGTTTGATTTCAGAAGTGATCAGTAGAATGGGAACAATAAATGTGAGGAGAATATTATCTTGATTATCAAATTCATCCTTGCTTTAGTGCATGGGATTCTGAGTTGAGCCAGGAATAAATTTAGAGTGGTTTGCTTTCAGGGAAAAGAGAGAGTGTCATAAAAATGCTTGAGGAAAAGCTAGTGTTGATAGAGCCATTACAATCAGTTTCTTTCAGTCTGTGTGAACATGTGAGCATGTTTTCTGACTTTTTTTCCCCATTTGCAGACTTGTGTTTTACAATCAGGATTTCAGAAAGTACTCCGTTCAATTCACGCCATCTGATGTTTCTGTTGTGGAACGGTCTCAGCGCTATATGCACACAGAGTTGAAGGAAACACCGGTAAGTTAGTGATATTTGTATGCTGTCTTGAGTACCATTTTCAACAAATCTCTCATTTATGTAGTAACAGTTCTTACTCCAGCCTGTGTGGTAGCATTTCTTTAGTTAGATACGTAGTGATGAACTGCAAAGTGCTTTTGGTTCTGTAAAGAAGGAGGCTTGTTCTGTCAATCGTGTTTGGAAGCTGTTTGACCTGATGTGGTTCAGGTCCTTCTGAGTGCACTGGTCTGTTTCATGCTACTTCACACTCTGTTTGCAGAGCTTGCTTCTGCTGCTAGCATAATAGTTATGAGAAGTTCTTGCAGGATTCTTGTGCTGCTCATTTGTAGCTGGAGACTTCTTTGACACTTGGATCTCTGGTCTGCTGAGTAAAGGCATTGTGAAATGATGGTGGTGGAAAAGAGGTTTAGTTTTTGTTTTCTATGGTTTCCTGAGTAGAGACCAGCAATGACAGTCTCAAACAGTTGTGCAGAATCACAAGCATCAGTTCATTGATAAAGGTGAAATAGCACTCTACAAATAGACTTGGAAGCTACTAATGAGAAAGGCTTCTCGTTGCTATTCCAGAATTCTGCAGTTAGGCCTCAGTTTGTCTTAAACTAAAGCACAAAGAGGAGGAGAGGAAGATCTCAGGATGGAAGCCTGAAATCAGAGACCAAAACACATCTTTCTTTGAAGTTTTCCACTCTTGTTTATCATGCTCACTCCTTCACCATTCTGTAATTACATTGTTACATTGTAATGGATTATAAAACAAAGCATTATTCAAAGAGTTGTTTAAGACAATTGATCAAGGCCCTGTTTAAACAGCCCTCTGTTGTATCAACCAGTTGTATTTGGGAGTTGATGTATATTTACAAATTAATTGCTGCAAACATTTGAATGTAACTGATGTCACTGAAAATACGTTCTTGCCTCAGGTGCAGTATGGTGCTTACGTGAACATAGGTGGTCTCGGCTCTGTTATCAAGTTGACGTTTGCTGGCATTTTATTTCTTCTCCTTGCTAAGTTTAGCTCTGGAAGAAAACTTCTGATAAAAGTAAGTGTTCAGAACAAGAAAGAATTGTTTGGAGATGTTATTTTTTTCCCTCTCATTTACTGTTGGTCTTTTGTCTTCTTTCTTTTTGTCCTTGTTTCTCCTCCCTTTATGTAGTACCCAGAATTTTTCTCTGGTGGATACTTCACAAAGAAAGGACCAACCCAGAAACAGGTAACTGGCTGTATTCCATCACAATTCTTGAATAAATGTTATGGTCATGGTGGAATAGAAATGTAGAGGTAAGTGCTTAGTTTCACAGGAATTTCTGAATGGATATTGTGTGCACCTGTTCTGATAGCTTGGAGTGCTTAAATAATCATGCGTTCTGCTGTTAGACATCAAAGTCAGTGGAACTTCTATGAGGAAAAAATGCATCATGTTGCTGGGTCTGATGCGTTGACATGGATGGCTCACAGCACTCATTCTGTTGAAGGTGATGACAGAGGGAGACTAAGCAGCAAAAACTCAGGACTTGAAAGCACTGAGAGAGTAACTGGACTTTAGAACAGTAACAGTTCCACCAAAGTGGAAGCGATTAAACATTCAGATGAGATTGTACCTTTTAAGCAGTAACTGAAAGTAACTACTGTCATGGTTAGATGGATCACAGTGCTTGGCATAATAGATACTTAGATCTACTACTTGTGCCTACTTGATGTGAGTTGCTGTTTTGGTGACTACGCTTGTTTTGTCCACTACAGATGGAAAGAACTACTTTTACAATGACTTTTTTTGGTGAGGGTTACAGTGAAGGGCAAGATCCACAGAATGGCAAACCAAATGTAAAGATCTGCACTGAAGTCAAGGGACCAGGTACGTGTGTTGGTAGCAGCTGACTGCTTTTGCCTCAAATTCACTACTGTAAAATAATAGGTGTGGTTCCACTGTTGTTCCTTTCCCTCTCAAGGAGCATGTCCAGCATGGCCAGACTCAACAGCCTTTAACAGAGTATTACCATGGATAGTAGCATTCGTTGTGACCTGTTTTTTGAGATAGCCAGTTGATTTACGTTCTTGTCGTTCTCTTTTCTTCTGATTCTCCCCGCTACAGTTGTCATTTTTGCAGAGTAGAGCAGTTAAAGGGAGGGGACAGTTTCCAGATTAGGTCTTAAGGACTTCACCAGTGACTTGGGATGAGTGCCATGTAAGATAGCTGTTTATCAATGGGGAAGGACATTTCATTGCCAAGGAGATTATTCTGCAGCATGCTGTAGTTAAGATTACATTCCATGTTTTATTCTTTTATTCTTTGTTAGAGCCTGGCTATGTTACTACGCCAATTGCAATGGTTCAAGCAGCTGTATCTCTTCTGGAAGATGCAGCTTGTCTGCCTAAACAGTAAGTACTTTTCCTTGCAGAACAGCTTGAGCTCCCCTCAAGCAGCTGTGTGCATGTTTCTCTTTGAAAATACAGATCTCATAGTCCTGTGGATTTCTGTGTTGCCTCCCCCAAAGGCTGTGCAAGGGACTTACTTGACCACAACTGATTTAAAGCCACTTATCTTTATCTGCCTTTCAGTTTGAAAGGTAGTCATGATGGAGTCATAGGTTTTTAGTAATGTTTTGGCTCCATCTGTTGCATCAGTGTCTGTATTCTCAGTTAACTGTGTGATTTCTGTTGAATTTGCTGGATGCAGAAATGAACCTATGAATATGACCAGCTTGCCAAGTTCCTCATACGCTGTCCTGAGGGGCAAAGTGGCCTTTCCTTTCTTAGGCAGGGACACGCATCTTTGATGTCAAAAGAAGTTGTCACTCAGTTACTGCACCACTGATGTTTTTCCCTGTTGCTTTTTATTAACAGGGGTGGTGTATATTCTCCAGCAGCTGCCTTCTGCAAAACAAAACTGATTGATCGCCTCAACAAACGTGGTATTGAGTTCTCTGTTATTAGCAAGCCTGAAGTCTGAAGTCGTGGTTCCTATTCCAGTCAAAATGATGTGGCTGTAATAGCCTAATTATAAAATAGGTTCACTGTGCTATTGTTTGCAGCAGAAACAGAAGAGAACCTGAATTAAAAATGACAATACTATTTGTGACAGTGAGTGAGTCCATGAGGGGTAACTGAGTTTTAATTCACAAGCATGTAAAATTAGTGACTTGTCAAGTACTATTTCTAGAATTCTGCTGAATCTCTTTCATCTCAATTTGAAGGTACTACTTAATGGATCCCCTATAGTATCCACAATTAACCGCAGCCTTCTTCCTTTTTCCTGTTCCCCAACTATTGGAAGTAGGCAGGCCCTGGGTAGCAAGTGCCTTAGCAGATGAAACCACCGGTTGCTCCTCCTGCCTGTTTGGGTAGTTGTGGTTGCTTTGTGGTGTTCTTCCTTTCCAAGCCTTAGTGGCCATAGTGAAATAAAAACTTGTTGTTTTTTCTTGGAGATTAAGGAATGGGTTTGTCTTTTTTTTTTTTTTCCTGTGTTATTACAAAGATCTGCTGACTCTGTGCTGTTTTCTTAAGGTATGTTGACTGTGCTAAAAAAGGAGAGAAGAGAAAGCACCAAGAGTAGCTTTGGTCAGTATAACCGTGACCAGCAGTGTGGTGGCTCCTCTCCCCGTAACAGCTGTTACAATAATGGTGGAATAAAAAAGCAGACTTAACCACTTAGTCTCAAATAATTTCTAAATGCACATTTGTGTGCCTGTTCAGATAGCTTTGGATAATCATACTTTGTGTTATTAGATATGCAAGTATTTTTTTAATCGTCTTGCAGATCAAGACAACCTGAGGAGGCTTCAATAAAAGATATGTTCCTGTTGCAATAGCTGGTGTAAAACTGAGATTTGGGCAAGTTTCTAGGGCAACTGTCACCTCCCATGCAACTTCACCTCTGAGCAGGCAAGCAACCCTGGCAAACTAATGTGCCACTGGATAGGATGCCTTGCCTCCCCCAGTGAAAACCAGCAGCTTCTTGCACTGTACTGGGGTCTGGCCTGTGCCAATCAAGCCACAGTTCAGTACTCTCAGCAGACTGTGGTTAGGGCAGGGGCTCAAACTGCATCTGAGGACACCATGGCTGATAGGGACCCAAACAACAGTAATTGACCCAGTAGGGAAAAAGAAACAGTGGACAAGAAGAATGAGTCCATTTCATCCGTTTGTAAGGGAGGAAGAAGAATAGTATTAGTGCCCCCACAAATAGTTTAAATTAGGAATCAAGATCTGCAAACACACTATGGCAACACTTCTTTTCTTGACAAATTCCCTTCTAACAACCCTTAATTTTATTAATATTCATTCTCTCTTCACTAACATCTATGTGTTTCCTGGAAAGAAATTCTACCCTTGCATGTATTATTCTTTCTGAAATGCAAGTTACTACCCCAAGGCAGTCAGCCTTCCAGCAGAACTTTTGGGGTTATAGCCCCAAAGGCACAGAGACACAATTTAGCTTCAGCTTTTACCCGTCTGATGTTAGATCAGATGCATCAAAATATTCCTGAGAAATTCCAGCTTTTTGTCAGGGGAAGAAAAACACACACTCCTCAAGCAATTGTATTTCCTATGTAAAAAACTTCAGAATTGCTGCCTTTAGTGATGAACTGTACCAAGCCTCTCCTGGGAAATTCTCATCTTGCTGACAAGGATGGCTGCGTGATGCACCAGGAACTTTTTTGCACAGATCCAATAAGATACATCACCTCCTTTCTTTCAGAGGCTTCTCATGCTCTTTTCTGGCACCATGAATATGACCTTCCTCTCAGATACATGTGCAAACAGCTGCAATTCTCTATTAAGACCTCTTTCCTTCTCAGCTGCTTGCTGTCAAGCCATTTCAATCTTCTGCAAGGCAGGCTCCTTTCCCCACTTGTCCCCCTAAGCACTGCCCATGCCCTGGATCTCTCATCCTTGTTGAAATGTTCTTTTCCATCCCATCCCCCACATGCTGGGAACAAGCCTCTGCAAAAAAAAAAAAAAAAGCCCCAAGTAAAATCTGCTCTCTCCACTTCATTATAAGCTCAAACTTGAGTTGCCATCTTGATGCTGTTAGCTGCTTTTTCCTTTCTCAGGCTCTAACAAAAAAATGACCAGCACCTGGTTTTGCTTCCACTTGGGAAATCTCACTCTTTGCACTGATGCTTATGCATGGCTTTTGCTCCTTTTTAAACTGCTCCCGGGGAAACTGGTTGGCACTCCAGAGCTAAGCACTGAATCTAAGAAACTGGAGAAAAATGAGGAAAACATTTTAAACACATAATTAGATTAAAACTCCTTTAAAGTAAAAAAATAGACTTTCACAAACCTTTAGGAAGTTATCAAATGGCATGCCAATTTTTTCCTATTACTATTGCTTTCTTTTTTCCTCCAAAACTCTCTTGAACAAGGATAATTTAGCTGAGCTGATTACAAAATAGAGACTAAAAATGACTATAAATTATTAATAAAATTAGTTAATATGATTTCATTTGTCCTACTTGACCTTCGTACCAAAAACATACTGCAAGAATAACTGACAGGAAAAAAAAAATCCTACTAATCTTCACTAGTGTTTAATCAGCCAATTCTATTTGATCAAGTAGCAGAGAATCTTGCACTCTCACGAACCACACAAAATGTATATTCAGATAGGACATCTATTTTCTTTTCCAGTTTTGAAAGCCTGATCTTTTAACCCATTTTCTGAGCTATTCCCTGCATTTCTGTACAGTGTGAAATTAAAAAAAAAAATTGGTAGATCTTTTCCCCATTTCCCTCTTTGACCACATATTGATGTTCAAGTATAAAATATTCAGAGTAAGTAATTACTAAGGTCTCAAACTGCCACTTTCATCCTGTTATCCGGTGCTTTTTTTTTAAGCTTTCATGAATACTCCCAAAGAGAAAAATAAAAAAATCTCCAAGTGCATGCAAGTGCAATGACCTGTTCTGAGACAGGAAAATTATGGCCCCACAAGAAACTTCCTATAACAGCTCAGTCTGTTATTAATAGTCATCCATTATGTACAAGGTACTAATTAAACAAGTATTTCTTAAGAGTAATTGTAGTAGTTTTTACTAATTGGTGGAATCTGACATTAAACTTTTCATTCTTTAGTCTTCAGTGTTGCATCCATATATAAATTAACATACATAAAAATAATTTTCTAGAAGACTGCACATCAAAATAGTACTTCCATGCCTTCTTCTAAAAGAATAAGCTTCTGAATTTATTTTTACAAATTGAAGCTTTATATGGAAATGTACTCTATAACCCAAGATTACTAATGAAAGAATTTATTTAAAAATATGGTTTCTGTACATTTTTGTACCTTTTCCAGGCTATTCTGTTAGCTTTACCATCAAGTTTTCAGTTCTGTGATATGCGGGCTTCAAATATTGCAAAATATGTTTACAGACAATAATTATTTCAGTTAAAGTAGCATTCCTACTAACTTTATGAAAATAATTTTGGCTCAAATTTCCAAGTATGTCGGTAGTATCCCTTAAAATTTTATATGCTATTGTAAGCATCACACCCTCTATACAGTTAATTTTTTGCTGACAATAAATTGTAAAAAATAATGAAACATCTGAGGTCTGATCTATTTTATGAATGAAAGAGCAGCTTTCCCAAAGTTTAAGACAAATACAAAAAAATATTGCACAGCTTAAAATACAATTGTTTACATTCTGACTTCAATACAGTACAACTCAACCATGAATGTAAGGAATTACCAGTTTGTATTATGAACCCAATCATTTGTACCAAGTCAAACATAATTTATAAAATTTAAACTAGTATGTTTTAAATGTTTACTTATTTTATAGATAGGAGTTCTAAGCCAACTTTTTGAGGGTCTAAATACTCTTGCAAACCAACATCAAATTTTTTGAGCAATACAGGCCATTCAACCCACGATTCCCTCAAAAAGCTATTAGACAGTAAGCATATCGTGAAGTATACATTTTTATTTAACATTCCTAAAATAAGCTGTATTTACATATTATATAAATGTATGAAGTCTTAATATAAAATAGAAAACTGCACTGACTGAGGAAATCACACTCCATATGGAGTTACTTATTGAAGACCATTTGTTTATGAAATTTTACAATAATTTATATAAATTACCTCTTCCAAATTAGATGATTTTTTTTCTTTTTACTAATCCATACAATTTTGATGACTTTACAAACAGTGGTGTACATTATAAACTTAAAAAACAGTTACAGCATCTTCCGGCGCACAACTGGCTTTGGAAAATTAGAGAGTCTTTTTTTGTTCTTTCGCAGAGTCTTCTCTGCTGTGTCTGTCGTTTCTTTCTGTTTGCTTTTTGTTCCATCCATTGGACTTCCAATAGGGGAGATTAATTTTATTTCCACTGGTGGAGGTGACCAAGAACCTTCCTTTCCTGTGGTTCTGAGAGGGAAAAGAAGTATCAAATTTATTTTTTATTACCAACATAGTATTTAGGAGAGGGACAAAAAACTGTGGAATGACAAAATCAGTACCAAAGAATTATTTATGAATTTTTTTGTAGATAAGATCAAGGCATAAAAGGTACATAAATAAGCTTCCTTTTGCTTTCACTCCTTGCCAGACAGTCCCAAGTATTCTCAATCCCTCTTCATATGAGCTTTTAGAACCCCCGCCACAGATTTTAGGAGGCAAATGTGCTCACAGAAAGTTTTCCAGGGGGAACTAGAGAACATCTCCAGAAACAAGAACTTATCATCTTTACTCATGGTCTGACTTCCTTGTGCCTTTTATGGGGAACTAAAGATTGTAAGAGTGTGGTTACATAAGGTGGAATAAGACAAAATGTTTAAAAGCACAGTCGCTGCAAAAAATAGCATCCACTTGCCCGTTTCTATCCCCTCCCTCTTCTGTTTCCATTAGAAAACTAAACCATTAAGTGAGGGAAAAAGATGCCTTTTAGACCAACAAGCTGGATAGGCTCATGAAGTCAAGAGCAGAACTGCATAGCCAAATGAGGAAGTTAGGTGGATGACAGCTGAATCACTACCACAGTAAAGGAAGACAAATAATGGTAAAAAAAAATTTCATACTTGCTTGCTTTCTTCTTCTTGGATTTTGCAGGTCTACCTCTCTTCAAATTTTGCTTCCCCATAGACTCTATGGATTTGGCATCCTCTTCTTCTTTAATTGGAAGCTCCTATGTTAAGGCAACAAAAATGTTACTAAGTTCTTGCACTTCTGCAGAATACAAATGAATGTTTCTTTTGTGAAGAAGTCATGACAGTTATTTCCAAAACCAGTAGAGTTTCTCTCTGCAAAAATGAGCCTTTCATCTCAAATTACTGCACCATCCTCAAAGTTCAAATTCTGGAACTAAAAGATAATACTAAGTAAGTTTAAATAAAGCCTCTGTGCCTTTTGTTGATGGCAAAGCAATTCTTATTAGTTTTTGACTCACACAGATTCACAATTTATTTTTGTAGCCACTTTCCATGAAGGAAAAAAATATTAAATTGTTTAGCTGATTAATGTAAAGCTCTCTTCTTAAGATATACCTTCAAGAAAAAAAGGCAAGGCATTGCAAATGCTGTTTGAAAATGTAGTACAAAGAAGAAAAAAAATAATAATCAAGAACATGAAACAATTTACTTACTGGTTCTTTCACAATTTCTGAAATGCTAGATACATTTTTTCTCCGTGATCTCAAAAGAGGGGGTGAAAAAACAAACTGAGAAGACAGGTCTGGGTCAAAATCCTTGAGCTGCACAGGTTCGTCTGCTTTTTCAGCTGTAACGACAATGCACTGTTAATATGCACAAATATTATACATGCAGGACTGTGATGTTAAATTACAGTTGATAATCAAGAGCACAAAAGCTTCCTGAAACAAAAGTCCAATCAGCTTTCTAAACACTCAGTGCATAAGTATTTTTCCCCTAGTAACTGACTCTTGGGATCCAATCTTTTACTGTGAAACAACAATAAGCCTGTGTAGTGATTCTACCTGCACCTACATAATAAAAAAATCTCTGTTCAGGAAGCATCAATGGTCCTTACACATCTTAAAAACATTTTTTATCAAGTAGTCTACTAAAAAGAACTCTATGCAACATGAACTTCACAAAGCATATGTTCATGAAAAACAATCCCATAATTAAACAGCTGTATAGTTTGTTTCAAGATGCAGCCCATTACAAGTTAAAAACTGAACATCATTCAGAACCATGTCTCCTTTGTTTCTCTGCCATGGAGAAGGGATGGCAATCACCTATTACAATACCCTCCAGTTTTCAAAATTGATTGAAATCAGGCTAATGACAGAAATTCAGATTAAATTTTATTTCACTCACATCAGCCTCCTCATGTTTCCACCACAACTAGCCAGTCAGTCAAGTAGAGTTCAGAAAACAAGATGAACTGCCTCTTCCCAAAATTTTGTATGGTTACGTTCTTTACAACACTTAAAGCCATCCTCAGTCTCTTCTCTGTGTTTTACGAAACAGCAATATGCCCTATTTTTTTTTTTTATGTAGACATAGATAGTGCACCTACCTTTAAATTTCTTTGTCAGCTTCATGAGAGGAGGAGAGAAAAGGAAGGCCTCACTTTCCTCAACAGACACTTTCTGATGCATGGCAGTATTGCGGGATCTTGTTCTTGTAACACGATCTGTTTTGGATGCTTCATCATGTTCTGATGGGTTTATGTCTTCAAGCAGCAAAGTGCTGCCATCAGGTCCTTGTGGGAATGCCTCCTGCCCTGTGTCATCTTCCAATACTGGTTGTATCTTTCTGCCCCGACGCCCTGTCCTTACTGCAGTCCTGGGTGTAGTTGGTTCCTCCTTTGGCTGTGCAGGTGTTAGCTCATGAGCATCTGTTGTTTCTGATTTAGTATGTGTAACTCTTCTTCCTCTTCTCCTAGGAGTATCAAGGGTTTCCACTTTCTCACCTGCATGTGTGTCTTCCTGAGTAGACAGAGATCCTGTGTCTGCCAAGAGGTTTTGTGCTGCTTTCCTAGCACTTCTTCTAGGAGTGACAGGAAGTTTAAATTCTGTTTGAAGAGGCAATGATTTAGACAGATCAAGGTCAGATATTTCTGAAACTTCAGATGAGCTAATCTTTCTTCTTCTGCCTCTTCTAGTTGGCGTAAGTGAAAGGAGTTGGTCGCTAGGCTGCACCTCTTGATCCTTGACAACATTTTCAGTGACCTGTAAATTGGTATTTTTTAGTTTTCTTGCACTTCTGCTGGGACTAACTGCTGTTTTTAGCTTATGATCAGTGTCAACCTGGCCAGTTTCTTGACCTCCTGATGAACTTTTTCCTCCTCTAGTCGTTTTGGAAGTAGCAGAAGCAGTAAGGCTACCTTCAGCAAGAGAAGTTTCTTCATTAGCCTCTTCCAGAAGTTCTGATACAGATTCCTTTATTCTTCTTAATCCTCTTCTTGGAGTATTTGCTACGGACTGCTTACTGATGGACAATGCTTGTCCATCAGAATGGCTGCTTTCTACTTTTTCTGAATTAGTCTGCTTAGGCTTCCTACCTCTTCTTGGAGTAACAGGCACCACAGGTATTTGCTCATCTTGAGCATTTTCTGCTGTTTGAAGACTAGAAGTCTCAGATGTGTCTTTTGTACGCCTGGTACTTCTCCTAGGAGACTGTGCAAACAGAACTGGTTTGTCTTTCTTCAGTAGTTGCTCCTCATCTGCCAATGGAATACTTAGATTTCTACTCAGTTGTCCCCTTGTGCGTGTTCTAGGAGTGACAACACGCTCTACTTGATATCTACTGGTTTCATCTTCCACTTCTTCTGGCACAGTTGTTAAGGGAGTTCTTGCCTTCTGGAATCTAGTTACTTTTTTACCTATGGTTTCATGAATAGACTGTTCTACGACTTCAGATGTAAATTCTTTACTTCTTGTGTCTTTGATTACATCCAGTAAGTTCTCAGCAATAGCTACCTTAATGGGTTCAGGCACATACGGGAGTGACTCTGCAATATTTTGAGATTCCTGATCACTAGTTACAGTGCACACTGAATTTGTAACATGTTCTTGGTTTTCTGTATTTCCAAAGTTGTTCAGAGGCTTTTCCTCTGTTGTTGTGCCAGCCAGTTTAGAAGCATCTACTGCTGTAGAGTCTTCCATCTCCGCTTCACCTTCTTCTCCTTCCAAGACTAGAGTAAAATTACTCTGAGATATAAAAAGCTCTCCATCTCCCTCAGCTGCATCACATTCACCATCTCTATTATCAGGCAAATCACATGCAAACCGTTGCTCTATAGTATCATAGCTGTATTGAAAATTGCCTGATGTATGTAGTTCACTATATGGTGATGCTTCAGGTGCTTCTTCTGAGGTTTGTGCCTTAACCGTATTATCTTCAGTAACCTAAAGTTAAAAAAAAAAGTCTGTTAATGCACTATTAATTACCAGACAGACTAGCTTCAAACAAATGGAGATACATGAAACTGAGGACAGTGAAATGCTGCTTTTCCTTTCAGATCACCACTGAATGTAACACTAGAAATATACAATGCACTTGCTACTACAGATAAAAGTTGATGTGTTTAAGGGACAGAGAACAGAGTATGCAGTGTATGCACTCACATACTACATTTCTGGTATTTATCTTCATGACTAACAATTTGCCACCACCTGCCAACAAAGTGAGCAGTTTAACTATACAAGCTGTACACACAACTGGCACAAATCATCACACTGCAGTTACTTTCTGGACTGCTACAAATCCACAGAGTAACCAATTCTGTATCTAACATGGTAAAATGTAATTATGTCCCCAAAATTTAAAGTTTCAGTCATGAGAGTTGTGACAGAAACACTAAGTCAAACTGGCCAAGTATCACATCCAACAACTCAAAGCTGCACTTTAAAGAATCACTTGGATTGCATGAGACAACACATATATCTTGAATACCTCCATCTCATTTCCTTTTAGATACACGAGATACTTAAGCTTTTATACAGAGAGCAAAGAGCATCCATTATGTAGTTCAGGTGAGTCAGATGGTCAAGATCATTCAATCAACGTGTAAAGACCTTTGCCCAAACCTCCAAGTTCCCATGCCAGCTAATGATGGCAGAAGAAGCCACTCAACAGCAGCCTCCATAGAATTTGTCTATTTTCTTGCCTCCTGCCTAATTAAAAGTCGCTAAAGCATCACATTATAGCAATATGCCACGCTACAAAACTGAATTCAAGAAATACTGGTCTGCAGAAACTTTCCTGTTATACTTACAAATCTGCAAACAAGAAGGAAATAGTTTGTCCTAAATTCAATGAAGGCAGAGAAGCCAAAAAGAGATGTTTACATATAAATCAGTAAGAACCAGTGTGCTGGTTTTGGCTGGGACAGAGTTAAATTTCTTCATAGAAGCTGGTATGGGGATAGACAATTGATTTGTGCTGAGAACAGCGCTGATAATGCAGAGATGTTTCTGTTATTGCTGAGTCGTGTTCACACAGAGTGAAGGCCTTTTCTGCCTCTCACACCACCCCAACAGCAAAAAGGCTAGGGGTGCACAAGACGTTGGGAAGGGCCACAGCCAGGACAGCTGACCCAAACTGACCAAAGGGATATTCTGTACCACATGATGTCATGCTCAGCACATAAAGCTGGGGGAAGCAAGGGGACACACACACACCTTCAGCATGATTGTGATTTTCTCTCCAAGTAATCATTATGCACAATAGAGCCCTGCTTTCCTAGAGATAGCTGAACACCTGCCTGCTGATGGGAAATAGTGAATGGATTCCTTACTTTACTTCACTTATGTGCCTAGTTTTTGCCTTAACTCTATTTCAACCTATCAGTTTTCCCACTTTTACTCTTCTGACCCTCTCCTCCACTTGTGGGAAGGAGTAAGCAAGCATGGCACTAAGTTGCTGGCTGTGTTTAGTTAAACCATGACAACCAGTTATTAATCAAATCAGAAAAACTTTCACTGTACTGCTAGCATGAATGACTGAAGAAGCTTTGTGACAATTCCATGTACCTACTTCCTTCTTCCCATAACCAATTTTTCATTTACTTCCATAAATTATTTATTCACAAGTTTATAACCATCTTCTCTACAATGTTCCCAAAATCCCAAAGCTGAGACGAGCTGAACAAGTGACTACTTAATCTGAAATCTGGGACACTGAAAAGCATTTTCTGTTACTTAAGACCAATCTATTTGTGGTCTACCTACCTTTCAGCTTGTATTTCACTCTGAATATTATTAATTCCTGTCATTATAATGCTATAGGAACCCTGCAGTATCGTCTATGAGGTATTTGAGGACATCCACAATGAATCCATGACCCCTCAGCCCCAGCAGAAGCAAGCACAGCAGGGAAAAACATGGGACAAGTAGAGAACTGTAGTTCTAATTTTCAGTCCCTGTGAACAACCTTTTAAAATTCACATTTTACAATGTTCACATGCTCAAAAAAACCAAACCAAACTATTTTTTTAACAAAAGAAGAGAAGGTAGCTGGCAATATCTTGATGGTGAAACTAATTAATTACTGGGAATTCTGTTTATGTTAATAGGAAACAAACTGGAAAGGATCTAAGCACCTAAATGATCCTGAAATGAGTTTTGTTCCCACATCATTCAGCCATTTGGTAAATGGCCCTCAGTATCGAACAGATGCACTACCCAATATTTCTTTCTGTCTTTAACATTAAAAATACTGTGTTTTTTTTTCAAGTCAAATAAGAAACATTTCAGTTCTAGCAAACCAAATTAATTCATGGTTATTTTAAAAAATACTTTAGATTGTTGGTTTTTTTCCAGCAGGCAGCTCTCAAAAGGCCAAGTCTTGACAGGTTTTATTCTGTGTTATAAGTACAGAAAATGCATAGGAGATAAATATATCTGCCCTTACAGAATGAGGTTTTAACTTGTGTTAATCAGTGAAAGAAGCTGAGGCTTTTTTCTGTATCTTCTAATTGTCAGTAGGACAGAACTGTCCTCAATTTGCAAAATATTTTCTTACTTTGTAGAAAATAGGAAAACAGTTAACTTACATTACTTTCCTGTGTTTTAGGAAGACTGCTGGAAACAGTTATTTCTTCCTGCGGAAAAGCAACATTTTCTTCCACTTCAGCTCCTTCTAGGTTATGTTCTTTAGGTAAATCCACAAACTTCCCCTCAGGGCGGTTTTCTGAATGAGTACTGACCACATCCTCACTGTCAAGGAGACTTACCACAGCTGGAAGAAATGTATAAAATTTTAACTTAACTGCTATATAAATGACCCAGGTTTAAGTGACAGAAATTAACAGAGAGAGCAGAAGCCAACAATTGAGTTCTCCATACTGCCACATACATCAGGCTTTCTCCAAAAACTAGAAGCCAGAACTATCTGGTCTATCAGGCAGATTCACAAGTGAAAAACAAAAAGAAAAAAATCAGCTGGCAAATCCGTAAGAGAAAAAGAACACCAGTGAAAAGGGTGGTTGGAAAGGCACACACATAGCTAGTTCTTTTTTACAGCCTGAATACTGAGAATGCATCAACTTTTACAGCAGTAACTCAAGCAGGAATCTTACAGCACATAAATTAGTAGTGGTGTATAATATTAAAACAAACATTGATGTCTCCTTCTAATGTTTTCAACACTACCATTTTTCACCACTGTCTCTACCAAGAATGGGAACATTGGCTATGCATTTTCTCCACAGAATTTCTTTGAGAGAGTAGTCTCTCTACAGCTTAATGAAAATTACCAGCAACATGCTAGTACTGCTTCTATCTGAGACACATGTAGGGTCTGGCAAACTACACATTTTACTTCAGGAGTTCACACACAACAACTCCAACATACTGTACATACATTTATTTTCTGCCCCCGGGGATTCAGGAAGTTGTGGATTTGTTGCAACTGGTATGGCTTTTTCTTCAGATGAAGAAGACATTCTGGACTCCTGGTGGTTTGTTTCACTTCATGAACAGAAAGAGAGAAATTAATCATAAAGCTTCAAAACAAACCTAGAAGACCTTTAGAAATAACTTTCTCACTGTAAAATCTTAAAGTTTCAACATAGAAACAATTAAGAAAAATTCAGAATCCCTTTACTGACACATCTACCTTCACTTCATGATGCATTTTATGCAATGAATCAAGCACTTAACACTCTTCCCAGCTAACACTAGATAACAACACAACAACAGAGCTGTATTAAAGAATGCCCTATTATTTGTCTTCCGAAGAAAGAGTGCAACTGCTTTACTGGAGGTTCAGAACACACTGAACAACAGTTTGTACCGGTGTAAAATACCAGTTGAAATTAAGGGATACTTCATTGCTAACAATATCTCTTAATCGCTAAGCAGTTGCGGCTTTTAAGTATCTGGCAAGAAAACTGATTCCCTTTCTATAAACAAATACATGTTAATTTGGCACAGGCAGAAAACAGAAATTGTCTAAAGTACTGCTGGAAAGTATTCGAACCACAAAATAAACATGCTAAAGTTACAGGAATCTCAAATGTAACTTGTAGCTACACAATTGTCAGACTAAAGTAGGGCTTATGTTCACAGCATCTGCTTAGTAACCCTCAAACTGTGTAAGTTTTATATAGGCTGTTGAATTAAGTACCTGAGTCTGAAATTACTTGAGAAAAAAGGGCTCAAACTGACAGCTAGTCAATTGGATTTACATTCATGCCAAATCAGTTCTGTTCACAGACAGAAAGGAAAAGCAGTTATATTTCAGAACATAAGGAAGAACCAATACCAGGCCAAACTTACAGGTTTCAACCACAGGAAAGCCTGCAATTACATGTTGTGTGAACCCAAAGATGTATCTATTTTATAAACTTACCCTTCACTAGCAGTCCCAAAAGGAGCAGGCTCTGCTGCTTTAAATGCCACTTTACCATCCTCAGGAAGGGTAAGACTTTCCACATTTGATTCTTCCACAAATCCTACAAAAACAGATGGATGACTTTACAATTGTACATAACATAGTTTCTTTTAAAATGCTCATATGACTTCAAAGTCAGCCTTTATGCATTTAACTAGCACAGTGATCTAACAAAATTGTGCTACTAAGACTTCAACTGCACAGGATTCTTTCCAGTAAAATCAGAACTCTGATGCATAATTTCAGTCAACGAAATGACCACTGGTATTCTGTTTGCAAACTAAACTTTTTATGTTATAGACCAAATACACAGCAACTTGAGAGACCACCCCTCCTTCTTAAAACTGGGTAGCAAGTTTTCTTATTTCTCTTTGTGTATTCATCTCACTCCAGCAATGCTTCTTTCCTTTCTTTACTCCATTTTCCCTCTTCTACAAGAATGCATCTAAGGTTTTGTTATTTTCTCTAGTGATTGACTGGTGGTGTTGAAACCCAGCTTCTTGCTACCTTTTTTTTATCTCAACAGATAGAATCCTAGGGGTTGGAAGGGACCTCGAAAGATCATCTAGTCCAACCCCCCTGCCAGAGCAGGGTCACCTAGAGCACATCACACAGGAACGTGTCCAGGCGGGTTTTGAATGTCTCCAGTGAAGGAGACTCCACAACCTTTCTGGACAGCCTGGAACTGAACAGATTAAGCTCTATTTGCCAAATACTGACTGTAGCTGTCTTGGCACACCTTCTCCCCGTTCCTGTACTACTTCCATTCCCAGCTCTTGATCACCACTCACCAGCTAGTGAGTTACACCTCTTCTAATCTGCCAGCAGACCTGCTCATACGAACACACGCTCAACAGCTGGACTGGCTGGAATTAAGCTGAATTACCAAGGACCAACTGAAATAGGTTTGGAAAAGGTTGCACGAGCTGTTCAGACAGCAAAATGAGCAAGCATAGCTGTAATGAGAAGCAGATACAAAAGCAGACTCACTTCCAGAAAAAAGCTATTTAACTGAGCACTAAGGAGGTGGTTAAGAAAAATAATCTATCTAGTAAAAATATTACTTCCACTAAACTTGTTGCAAAAAACTTGGCAGCCTACAGAAGCACCCCTAAAACATAACCAGAGGCCTCATTTCAACTTGTATCCCTCTCAAAACTTTTACCAATCACTGCTGCCTTTCAGCTGTAATTACACAGAAGAAACACCAGCCAAAAGCAGTATATATTAATAATGTCCAGGACACCTAGAAGATGGCTCAAAACACAGTGGCAATTTTAAAAGCCTAGGATAAGGAAATGCCTGGGACATTTGTGAACACTCATCGTTAACTGCTGCACACATCAGTAATTTAACCTTTTGGAGACATCTGAAAACTTTAAAAACTTAGGTTATCATATATATGAAACACACCAGCTTCTCTTAGCTCTGATGAATCTGGTTGTTCGAACTGGAAAGGTTTATCTTCAGACATTTCACGGACTTCTTCCTTCTCCGATTCTTGAAAATTGGCAGCGTCTTCAGTAGAAGAATTAGCTGGTTTAGCAGCTATAAAGATGACATCATCTTCAAAATCGCCAGGTGATTTTGCATCATGATACTCCAACGTAGTTTGGTCTGACCTAGCAGAGAAGTTACTGTTTTCATTGCTGACATCAATTTTCTCCAAGCCATCTCCAGGTATGCTTTCTGCAGACTCTTCCATTTCAGCACGATCATCCTCAGGATTTCTCAGAGTAAAAAGAGCTGTTTTATCTCTACTTTCAAACCAAGCACCCTCCACCACTCCATGATGATGCTCAGATGAAGCTCCGCATAGTGCTTTATCATCTTCTGTTACCTTAATTAAAAAAAAAAAAGTTTCCAATCAATTATCTGCATATACTTTTTGTCAAAGCAATAATAATAAAACAGAACAAACTACAATTTACAACTACCACCTTAAACACTACATTAGCTTTTTAAGCTGAGTGTGAAAAATTAATGACATTTTTAACTACTCATTGAGCTTCCATGACCTTGGAGAAGTAAGATGCAGTGGGTCTTGGAAGTGTCTGCTTATACTGACTATCATCTCAAGGCTGTTCACTGGGATCACTGCCATGTTTTCAAGAACCAAATTAAAACCTGCCATTCTGATTTGCAATTTCAAGTCTCAATAGAAGCTTTGGCAAACTTTGAGAAAACCAATAAAACAAATCACAGTCTATAAGGTCTTTAACTGTAAAAATCACTAACTACAGCCCAGCTTACCCCAGCAGTACATTTTGCATGTGAGTTCTCTTCTCTGAAAGATATTCTAGGTTCCTTTGCTCGTAGAGGAGGAGTAACTGATCGGCCTGGAGATGCAGAGGGAGTTGCCAGGGGTGTGGTGCGAAGGCTGGATCTGAGAATAGACTGAGGAGTAAACTCAGGAAAACCAGCAGATGTGGCCAAAACTTTAGCCCTCTAGGAAAAGAAATAAAACCATTTACTTTAAAACCAGTTAAATCTTCAAAACTGAAACCCTCACTTACCACAAGTGTTCGTTTAAATTACAAACCAAGTCTGTACCAGCAGAGAGGACAGAAGTTTGCCTCTGCACTGCTCTTTTTCCAAAGGCATGAAAACCTTAAGAATAAAAAAAACATGCTCTTCATGTTTCTAGCACTTTTTTTTTTTTAATGTCAACAGAAAATGCTGTATTTTCAAATTAATTTCCCGAAGAAACAAGGATATGGCATCTTGTTGACTGCTATTTTACCTCCCATCCCAGTAAGTTTTGCAATTTCTACACTGCTCTTCTAAAAGGCATGCAACAAAGGTCACCCTGGATACAGGGACGGAAAATACTGCCATGGAAAATGGCTTATTTTTTCACTAATTCATCAAGCTGGGCACTAGACTGTATCAAGTGTCACTGCTGTAAAATACCTACACGTCTTCATCCAGAAGTGTTTACTTCTTCTTACCTTAGCTCAAAATAGATTTCACAGTATCAAAAGGGTTTAAACGAGGATAATGGAACTAGCTTAATGATACAGATATAATTTAATAGTAAGAAAAAGGCTGTAATTCAGAAAGGTCGTAACTACTTTGTCCAACCTAGGCAAAGGCAAAAAGATCAGCACCAAGAAAACACAAGTGTTATTTCTGTTATATTCTGATAAGGGCTTGACAGCAGTGAACGGAAATACAGTTTAACACAAACAATAACTAATATTACTGCAAAAAAGCATCACTGAATTTGGCAGAGACTGTCATTCACTTGACTAAGAAACTGAAGCACATATGTCTTGCTTGTAGGTATGCAAGTCTAGCTATGCAGACATATTGAGCACTTTAAATAATGAGATGGTGAAGCTACAAATTGCATCTTTAAGTATCTAGGCATGGTGAAAAGTCCAATCTTCACTTATTTCTTTCCATGCAATAAAACCAGGTGTAATTCACAAAGCTATGGGACCACATGCATACCACAATTAAGGCAGAACTAAACTTTCCCTCTTCAAGACTGTTCCCAAACGCACTGCTTCCAAAAGAACTGTGTAGACAATAACCACACACATACTGACAACATTCCACAATTTGAATCCAACAGCATTTGCGATAAATACTTCGGCGCTTTCGTTTTAAACAAAGTTTACAGGCTTTTAGTTTGATTGGTTGTTACTGTTTTTTTTTAAATACAAACCTTAACCACTAGAGGAGTTTCTAGTAAATTCAACTCTGATGCTCCTGAAAAATTCTTTTGTGACATGGAACCATGCATATATGATTTTAGTGGGCTGGATGCCATGAATGAAGTAGAAGCTCTGCATGGTGACTGCCAGCCATTATCCTGCACAGAACATGAAGGAACAGGACGAACCACCAAATCCAGCAATCTGTTAAGACAAACAATTAAAATATGAAAATAGATACATGGAAAAAAATCATGCTGTGCTCAAGAAATCTTAGAAGAAACATAAGAAAACCATTAAATGAACACAAAATACAGGTAAACCTTCCCTGCTCAGGTGATGTTTCAGGCCCTCGAAAAAGTTACAGGCTTTTTCTGGTTTTTAATTAGTTCTTTACATTGCCTACTTTACTACTGCCTACTTAATTTCCCAAATCATTGTCTCTGAGGTGCAAGTAATCCAATTTTAAGTCACACAAGTGATGGAATTCTCATGCCAGAAGAAGACTCATCTACATTTCCACTGGGACCACTTAATTAGTTGTTTTCCTAAGTTCAGCTTTTCTTCAACAGATAAAAACTAAATGCAAACAGAACAATTTGAAAACACAGAAAGTGTTTTCAGAGCATACACACATACACGTATATGAGAAGCAAGAACCTTTTTGAAGTATTCATTCCATAGATCTACTATACCTGGAACATTTCCGTGAGAATTTTGTAACTGGTGTCCCAACAAATGCATCACACAACTCTGCATCAGGGAGAGGATGCCTTATAACTGGTGCCTCTGCAGTTCTAGGGCTAGAAATAAAAGGAAAACATAACTGACTTTCATCTCCCTGAATTCCAAAGTTTATTTGCCCAAACTAGCTGCAGCTAAATAACCAGACAGCTACCAGACTCTTTTCCACTCCCTACCATTCTGTCTATTTTTAAGTAAAAAAAAAAAAAAAAAGAGGCAGAAACTGGAAAGTGGTAAAATGCACAATTAAGCCTATCAAAATCCACACACCAATAATTTGATGGTCATCAGAGTTCTAGTTTCAACTATCATAAACACTGTCAATACATTTACTGTCATGTAAATGTGTATTTCCATAAATAAGATTATCATAGCAGACAACCTCCCTCTTCATATATTACTGATGATGCCTTGATTCTTAAATTCTATATTGAATACACAAAAAAGCCAAACAAAGCTTTATTCAGGTGCACCTTCCCTCCAAAACACCAACATAATCCGCATGGATTTTTTTCTTTCTCCAAGCACGTCACTCAAGACAAAACTTTGTTAGAAGGCTGCTTACCTATCATGTCGTGAGAAACTGGTTTTCTGCTCATTTCCTACCCATACTTCTCCGATTTTGGACAATACATTACTGATGAAAGTTGCTCTTGTATTCACATTTCCAGCATTAGCTTGTTTTGTTACTGTTGATAATGGCTTTGGTCTTGTGACTGTAAAGCAAAAGAGAAAAAATATCAGCTTTGTGTCTTCAAAGTGACGGTTAGTTTTTCATTGTATTCCCCCCTCCAAAAATTACCTTCTCTGAAGACTGACGAAGGCAAATGGTAAGGCTTGGCTCTCTCTGCAGCCAGCTTCCTTTGAACCCTAGGGAGGATCTTGCCATAGTGGTCTAATATAGAGTTTCTGGCAACTGCTCGCTCTTTAAAGCGAGGATCACAATTGTTCTGAAGAATGAGAAGTTTAAGGCAAAAAGATAACTCATTAAAAGCGGTTCACTGTACAGAACTATCTATGCTACATCTAGTTAGCGACTAAACTGCCTCTATGGATAGGGCAAAACACAGCCACTACACAGAACAGCAGCAAGTTCTACCCATCAGCACACACCGATTTCACCTGGCATCTTGAGCAAACTGAAAGCAAGACTAGAATAATAACAGAGCCTACAACTCAACTGTTCTGCCGCTCTGCAGAACCGTATTCTGATACACTTGTTACCACCTGCAGTTTTCAAATGGCTTAAAAACGCAGGCTTTCCCTGTTTCTTCCCGAAACACCAATGCCCAAGATGAATGAATATACATGACAACTGCAAATTACCTTTGACAAAATGATGTAAACATGAAAACAAGTAAGAAAAAGCTACCTACACCCACCATCTGACTGAATGAAAGATTTAATATGCAGGAATCAAAACTTCCAAAACCAGCTTATAAGTTTAATTCACTGGAAAACTACAGTTCCAGAAAACAGCAAATGCATCACAGACCCATAAGCAAAGTTCACTTGATATCAAATTTAATCTGGCTGTTTCAAGAAACAGAAGTGAGGTATGATTTCCTGCCATAAATGCAGTAAAATGAAAGTTGTGGAATTGCAGAGCATGCTATAACTTGAGGAAATAGTAAACAAAACAAACCACCAGGCAAGTTTCACCTGTGGATTGGCATCCAGACTGCTCTCAGCCAGAAAAATTGTGTGCAAGATGACATACAACATACTCTTCATTCCACAGAAAGCAGGGACACAAACAATTTCAATTATCTAAACCATAAATAGCACACATATGTGAATAACTGAATTATATGACTGACTGAGAGAAAAGACATTTATTTCTCAGATGCAAAGAAACTATTTTCAGTGGAGTCAACTATGGTCTGTAACATTTACTTTGTAACTTCAGCTACTAGCTTTGGAGTAGTAAAATACTGTTCAAATTCTAGGTTCAGCTGTAACTTAAAGTGTAAAAACTTACTCCTAGTACTCCTAATTCCTAGGATTTTAGTTGAGTACTACCAAAAAAACTTAAGTAATCTCTAACAGAAACTTGCACAGTCAACAGTTCTTTTAGGCTTACCATAAGATTAACCTTCATGGACTGATTCAACTGTAATGCTGGGATATAATTGGCACGTTGCAGATAGTGGACTAAAAGAAATTCATGATTCTGAACACCAGCACTGGTCTGTAAAAACTTCTCCAAACTCTCCTATGAGAAATGACACATTTCACAATTAATTATGGTTCTGGCTCTTCTCTTTTCAAAGAGAAAACTAAGATTTGCTCTTGACCACACTTACTTGTTCAGTGGCTGTGAAAGGCAGCTTCAGTAAGTCTTCCATTAGGCCCATCTCCTGACATGTTTCATACATGTGTTTTAATAGCTCTTCTACATTTAACTTAGTGGTGTGTTGATGCAACAGACCCCAAGCCTCCACCATGCACCTAAAATTAGAGATGTAAAGGAATATTAATAGCGTAACCAAAAATATGTTCCAAAGTTACTGTATTCAAAGTTTAAAGCAAATTCAGGGGATTGTGATTTGTATTCTTGTTTGCCACCTTTCACAGTATCCCAAAATGGTGGGATATATTTCTTTACCTGTTGGACAACAACACAGTGAGGAAAAGCTGCACTTCACTACTGCTTGACATTGATGGCTTCATCATCTGTATGTATCTGAGGGCTCGTCTATGCTCTCCTTGGCACATAAGGGATTGAATAATTCTGGTGTGTTGCCATGACACAGTCTTGACTGTAGCTGGATGAAAGAGCAGGGCCAGTGCATTCTGTAGAAGTTAGAGAACAGGCATATTACAACAGCTAAATACATGCAGGCAACAAAAATATTCAGAAGCTTTTTAAGAAAGGGTGAATGCACATTAAATAAACTTGTATGGCTAATTAAGTACATGATATAGGACATGCAAATAAAAGCTCCTAAGTAGCTGTACAAAAAAAATTCAGTTACACATACAGAAAAAAGCAAGTCTCTTTAACAGGAGTAAGTAATGCTTTTCTAGGTTATTCAAATCTCACTGCTTTTTATAAACACATTACTCAATAAGTTATTCTCCCAGACAAACATTATATTGACATAATGACAATCAAATAACTTTCAGCATCAGAAACAAATTAATTAGGTTCAGAAGCCACTTCTCCAGCCTTTCATCTCAAATCTTGCTGCTATGATTATAGTTTTAATAGTTCAAGTACCAACAACACTGATTTTGAGAAGTACTCAACTGATCTGCTGAAGACAATTTAAAGAGATGGCTTTAAAAATTCAAATATCAAGCATTATTAAAGTTGATTTCTTCTTTTTTGTAATCTATTTCCCATCACAGTAATTAAGAGAATTTGAAATCATCGTTATCACTGAAGATGTCACAGCAGTACTACGAAAAAGCCTCTAATGTTTTAGCGCCTGTTATTAGCTAAGTACCAAGTTTTTATAATCATTGTATAGATCACAACTTTGAACTGCAACAGATGTCCAACTAAATTGCACCATACTTACTTCATAATCATTGTGATCTAGAAGCCAAAAACCTTGAATTAGCTTAACAAGACCCCAGGGGATAGAAAAGGCAGTTGGGAAGGAGTCAATTGAAGTTTCTGTTTTATTTGGAACGGAATGCATGATATCCAGCAGCAAGTAAATTGTCTGATATCAAGTATCTAATTAAGGCTAATAAATTTGTAAGCTCAAAAATTTACACCACTAAATCCAGAAAAAATCCTAAGACTATAAAAGTGGTAGGAAGCAGAAAATACGCATGTACTGGTCTTGCTCTTTTAAGCTGTTGTACTTAAATACAGTAAGACCTTAGCAACAAAACGGCATTCTAAATAAATAACCAGAAACAGTCTTTGGTTTCCAAAAGGCATTCAGAAATGTTCACTTTAGATAACTTCCATTACAAACTCAGGCTCCCTTTTTTAGTCAGTGGAGCTACAAGTTGGACATTCAAACCACTTGAACTTCCAGTGCTCAATTATTAAAGCAAACAAATTGTACAGTTGTAATTTTTCCCCTCATTTGCAGAGTACATAAAACAATGTAAATTATGGTGTTGTTACAATACAACTCAGATGCAAATGATTATCAATGGATGTAAAACAGTAAGGGTTCAGTCACTGGCAGTGTCATTTTCTCCTTCTGACATGTTTATAGGGACAAATTCTAGTAAGACAGCCCTGGGGTACAAGTTTTTAAAACCCCTCACTCTCTATGCTCCCTTCTCACAATAGGCAACAAACAACAACAATTCTGTATATTTCAGCAGCCTAAAAATTAAGTTTCTCCCCAATGACTTTTATCCCTGTTTATTATTCCGTGTGCCTGCATTTTTAACAGAACAAAAGAAAGCACTGCTAGGTGTGCTGGAAAATCAATTATTTCAGCAAATATCAGGTATTGGTTAAGAAATCCTTCTGCTCTGAAGCAGCACGTTTTAGTGCACCATTCTAGCAAGTAGCCATTTGCTTCAGATATAGGTGCTTGAAAAAAATTAAAAACTGTGCCTAAATTATCAGAAAAACTAAAGGGTCATCTTATCTTTAAGGTATTTCTTAGTAAACCTGTTTCCTTATCTCAGAAAAGACTGCAACAAAACATGAAAAAAAATAAATCCACGGTACAAAGCAATAAAATAATGCTTCTTGTTACGACTTCACTCATAAACTGTTTTCACTTGCATTGTGATTGAAGCATGCATTAAAAAAACTGTTATTAAACATGCAGGTGAGAAACATGTAAGAACATTTATGTGCATCTACTAAAGGTGTAATAAAAATAACAAAAAAGGATACAATTGAATGTTTGTAGCTTTCTTCAATGCTTTCTAGCAAATAGAGATCCAGCAGTGCCTGAAATGAAAAATTAAATTTTTCCAATAAACTGTCTTTCATAAACCATTGCCTTTTGGGTGGGGTTTGGAGGGATTCTTGTTTGTTTTTTTTTTTAAATGAACTTAAGACTGACATGTAAACTAGCAGGTGGGTATTTTCCAGTTCCTCCTTCATCTCTCTGCCACAACTTCTCCACTTGATCTCCTAACTGGGAAACCATTCCATCAATCATCAAGCAGTCAGAATCCCATTTTCCTCTGGAACAAAAGGTAGGAAGAATTTGGACAGAGTAAAACACTAATTCCAGCCTCTCAGTGTAACAGATGTTCTCCAGTAAAAAAAATAATAATAAAAAAAAAAAAAGGCTGCCATGAATGAAAGTAACAAACACAAAAAGGCATGATTATGACTTGGAATAGCCGTGAAAGAAATTTACTAAGGGAAAAGTTGAAATGAACTCTTAGCTTTCAGGTTTTCTTTTTTGTTGTATTACTTGTAGTACAATGCAGGGGGACACATAATTAACTGCCAGAAATAACCACTGTCTAAGAGAGGAAACGAGCCCAGAACCATTCTCTAACACAAATCTAACGCCTCAAATTAGAGGGTTCCAACACACAGCTGTGAGACAATATAATGGAAATTTCAGATTTTCTTCTCAGCAACTCACTTCTGTTACTGAAAAAGTTAACTTTCAGTAAGCTGAGCATACAGGTAAATTTTAGTATCCTCTTAAGCAATATGTACATTTCTATACAAATATTGTTACAATTAGAAATAGCTGAACTTTTAAAAATTATGCTCTTCAAAAGTCCACCAATGTCCTCTGCTGACTGTGATGCTACTCTTTAATTTCCTGAAGATAAAAAGCAGGAATAGCACACTAGATGCTGTATTCCTTAAAAGAACACATGAGCCTGTAAGTTACTTGACTAGCAAGGTAAAGAAGATAAACTTCATAGTCAATACTTAATATACTGAAGTTCCACCTTAACCCATCTTGCAACACCTTGTTCACGGTGCCATAGCCTAAGCTTCTTTAGGTCTTTATTTAGTTTTCAGCATAATTTCCAAAGAAAAACCTAGTAGCACCTAACCCAAGGCATACCACTTATATGCTAGTAAGACTGTCCAGGAAAGAGTTTACATTAGGAAGTGACTTCTACACAATAGCCAGTGGACTGCTAGGTGTGCCAACTGCAACTCTGACTATTTTACCAAATTACACAAATGTACCTGCGAGTAGGAGATTTAGGCCAATAAAAATATTACCATCTGTAACTAGTCAACAAAAGGAATGCAGTGGATTTCTTTTAACTTGCTTTCTTCTGTATCCAAAACAATTGTTCTGCTCACACCATTGTTTGCTGAACTGGAGACGACTGATCCTACCTGAATCACATGGTCTTTTTCAGAAGTAACAAATTATATGGATTAGCCAATGAATTACGTACGCCACCAAAAAAATTACAATATCAACAAATGGTCCTAAGCAGAGGTACACATCAATATTTTAACACAGGAAAATAACCTCTGAGCTCAACAGAATACATGCATCACTGAGGTAAAGAGTACTGCCAGCAAATGCGTTCAGCACAGCAAATACAAGTCTTAATAAAAAATCCATTCACTTCCACTTCTGAATTGGCAGTGGAGATGTTTTAGAGCTTTCCCATAGGGCTCACCTTGATAAATGCTCAAGTTTCTTTCGATGACTAGTATAGTAGCCCTGAATCAGAGGAAAATTGTAGAACGGTCTAGACAAATGTATGCTGTCGTCTACAGGCAATAAAATAAAAACAAGTTAAAGAAGTAGCAACACATTTTTAAACAAAAGTTTTTGACTAAAAAGACAGAAGATCATACAAACAAAGCCAATCCTGTTTTTGCTTTTGATAAAATAAATGCAAGACACAAGACAACTCCTTCTTGTCTCAAGTGCCATTTCAAGTTTACAGTTGCAGCATTCTAAAGGTGTCATGTAAGCTGAAGTTCACTATAAAGAAAACAATTCTCAAAAGGAATGGGCTTTTTTGAACATGTCATGTGAGCATTTGTAAGACAATCAAGGCTGACAATAGAATTTATAATCCATTCTTTTAAAGAAGTATTTCCAAAGCATGTTTTTTCCTCAAGCAATTAACTAAAAAGTTTAAAATATGCAGGTAATGATTCTGAAAAAAACAAGCATTCCAGTATTGGCTTTTTACGAGTTATTTGTTTAAAATTCTATATATTTCAAGAAGTGGACATAACAAACTCCCTGAAGTCAGAGGCTTATTGACATTTCTAAAAAAGAAAACATTACCCAGGAAAGAAACTGGTTGTGCTCTACTCCACCATGCATTTGAAAAAAACTACAGTCTCAGTTTAAGCAACTGGACTTCAGCATCCCCTGCTGCTGAACTAACACAAGTTGTTATTGATGAAACATTTACAAAAGCATGGCCAAGAATGTGTTCAGAGGAATCGCTTACTGGATAATTTCCTTATTAGAAATACATTGAAATTTAGGCTTACCTAAACCCTCTGGAAGGAGACTGGAGCGACAGAACCAAATGACCACTTGTGCATACAAAGAAATTAGGCCAGTTACCACCTGCTTGTTCATCAAGTTTGTAAAACCTGAAAAAAGGTGTAAAATTTTTGTTATGCAGTTCCTTTCATTTTTACAGAACTCCCTTCATCACACTAAGCAGAAAGTATAAAAATATCAAAGCAGAAATCTTTTAATTTCAGTCTTTTCATTTTCTATTCTGTAACATTTTCTTACTTTAAGAAAAAAAAAATCAACACCGTCAAAAGGGAAAAAAAAACAACTCAAACCTGAAAAGAACCAGATTCACTACAGATTAAAATAAAAAGAAGTCTGGACTACTAAATACACTCATTAATACAAGACGTGTTTTTCACATGGCAGGTTTTTACTACAGCAAAGGGATACTATTTTTTTTTTTATTTATCAATATATCAAGAACAACTTAACAGTATAAAAAGCTAGAGAAACTCAAGTAGCTTACTTTACAAGTTACTCATTTATGTGTCCTCTCTACTTTTTAGCAGTTTTCAATACAATATTTGCGCACAACTATAAATTGCTAGCTAAGAATTCAAAATAATCCTTTACAGCATTCCCACATTCAGCTGCTGCAACTTCAACCCAGATGCCTACCCAGTTCTTGGGGAAGGTGGCTTCCCCTACCCACCTGCATGAATCCAACAACAAACCATTTCCCAGAACTCAATGTATACTAAGTGGGAGTCACAAGTTCTCAGATGTAAGCCCCTTGTCCCAGCAAAACCTGTCTTCCAACCACCAAAACCAACAAAATAAAAATGGTGCCACAGTTACAACCCAACCTTAATTCCAAATGTTAATAAAATATACCAAAGAGACAAAGTATTATTTTTACAAACCTCTTTCAGTAAGCTCTTGTGCTTCTGCTAGAAAACAGTTTAAGACTGTGCTGAGGTTGCTCAAAAGCAACTGGCAGTGCTGAAGAGACTGTAATGTCTGTGGATCAATGAAGTTGCAAGAGCCATCGAACAGCGCAACACCTTTCCAAGGATAAATATTCAATCATTAGCTGGCAGAGCCATCTCAGACTTTCAAAGCACATTTAAAGAACTGCATGCAGTACCATATACCGACATATTACTGAACAAGCTCAGTTGGAAATAATTATTTTATACTTGCAGAATGACTACATGAGTACTCACATATCTGGTCAAATTCATCTTTTGTACAGATCACTTTGTTCCACGTCCACTCCAGAACAAACCGTAGATTAGCAGCAGAACTTGGCTGCTCTTTAAAAAAACAAGAAAAAATAAATGAATCAATAGTTTAAAACTAAAATTAATGTAACAACAAAGCAACTTAAGAAGGGTTACCTTCAGATATCCAGTGTTTGATGAATCCAGTCAGAAGTTCTAAAGAACCTGTCCGGACAGCAGCTGACAATATTGCTTCTAACTGCTCCTCCTAAACATAACAGACGAAATAAAACTAGAATCTTTCAAACTTTCAATATCCAAACCATCAACAGTAAGTATTTGTTTCTAACTACATACCCATTCAGACATCACAAAGTCAATTAGTACATACACAACTAATCCCACATTCCTAATTCTAGCCAGAGGCTGCTTCTTGATTTGAGGAACACCTTAACTTTTACTCTGACAATTCAACTTCCTGAAGGCTAATGTCTCTGCATTAGAGTTTTAATTTACTGAGCTCCAGTCAATTGTTTTCAGTAACATCCTCTGCTAATACTCGTTACACAGTTTGTGCAGAGAAGTTCACCATCAGGAATGCATGAAGGGGACAGAAAGGTCAAACAGCTTGCTGGACTATGAAGACATGAAGCAGTTCTGACACCCAAAAACATTAACTTATACTTTTTAAAAATTACACAAGTGAAGCATTTAAATTCTAATAGGTTTACATTTCAGGCTGTTCAAATACTGTATCATAATGTAGTGGTGGTAATCCTTAAGAAGGATAACGCACAGGCATGCACAGACATGCAATATGAAGTAGTAGCTTATTTTAGAGGGGGTTCTGATACTTCTTTTCAGGCAAAATGATCCTTCATAAAATTTTACATTTTTCTTTTGGTTGTTTTTTTAAAATACATTCAAAAGTATCTTTCCCTTCTAGGCAAGATCATTACATTCAAAGCAATTTCTACACATTAGAATACATGTGTCATGGTTTCCATCTTCTCCTGAAAACTGACTTCAGACAACAATACCAACTACTACTTATCTTGGCAAATAACTCCAAACCAAGCTTCTTCACCATCCTTCTGAAATTTGTCTTCTTAGCATTCAAAAGAAACCACTGCTCAGATGCATAACATGCCTCAGAGTAGTAAGAGTCACAATTCAATAAAGGTTACTAAAAATGTTCTTGATTGCTCCAATTATTTCCATACAGGAGTTGACATCAGAGCACTTAATTTGAATCTAAGAGTCTACATCACTCCTGCAAAATAAACTGTCTATGGACTAGGTTAGTTTGCCAAGAAATCTAGCTACCACACTGTGAGAAAGTGTTTTTGGCCTAAAACACTTCCAAAATCTGGGGAAGAATCCAGTAGGCAGGAAGGTGAGGGCAACATGAAGACTGGTCTGCCCTTCCTACTAATTGCTCCACTGTATGAGGGCTAGCTAGTCATCATTTAGCTTAGGTCCTGCCAGGCTGAACATGGGCTGTTCATCACAAAGGCTCCAATTCTCATGAAACTCTTCAGATAAAAGAGAAAGGTTGGTGCACTGCAAATGGAAATCCTATGACAGAGGGAGGGGAAGTCACTATGGTGGGATAAAGGAGATAAAAGGTAGCAGGTGTCATGAGATAATGGGGATTAAGGTGTTGCAGCAACAGAAGGGCAGTTGAAGATCAGTAGATCAGACTACTGTAGCACACTGGAGAGGCTGCAGAAAAGCCTAGTGATGAAGGGAAAATGAGGGGAAGTAGTGATGAAACTGTGAGGTAGAGTTGACAACAGCAATTGTTTACCAAAGCCACTTCCTGGCAAGTGATCCCAGTCAAACTCAGTAGTTTGGATCTAAGAACACTATTACACTATTCTGCTAGCTGAAGTCAACACCTGCATTTCAATGCAACTTGTAATAATACGAAAATCAGATTATCATGTCTTGTACCCTCTACAGACCCATCACATAAGATGGCTTAATTTTCTCCTTGATTGCCTGGTATGCACTCACCTGACTCAAACTGGATGCCTGGACATCAAGTAGTCTTGGAGACAGCAAGCCAGCTACAAGACACCTATTGTAGCTATCATGAATGGCTTCACGTATTGAAGGACCAGATTTCTTCAAAAAATTCAAGGTCTGAAACATCCATCAAAAACTACAGATTAAGATGGCATTATTATTCAGTCACTATGGTTCCGGATAATCACTAAGAAAAATAACCCACATGCTCACTTAAACTGTCAGCAAACTGGCACCAGGAGTATGCTTTAGGTTAACAATTTGAGTAAGCATTACTCTGCAGAGCCTTAAAGAGGGCAGCCAAGCTAACAGTTAAAAGTCTATTTTAAAAAACCAAACCTGAAACAGTTAAAGTTTGTTTTAAAAAAATCTGAAAAACAAAGTCTCAGCCCTTGCAATGCTTAATTGTTTGCTAGCTTCTCTGTCAATGCACAGGCCTTTATTTTCCCCTGAACACTGATATAAAATACACTCTACATAAGCTGACGCAAAACTTTAAATCACAACTTGAAAGACCTTTTCTATGCTTATATGCTGATATGGGAAAGATTTAGTGAGCTGAAATCCAATTAAAAATTATTTTTCACAATCTGTGCAGTGGCTCAGATCTGGCCAAGTCTGGGAAAAAAACTCTGTTCATTTGTTCTCAAATAGTTAAATAATTTTTCTTTTTCTCCATTCTTTTTTGAGTTAATCAGAGATGAAATTCCTGACTCATGATGATGCAGAGTGTTTGACTGATGGTAACAAAGAAGTAATAGCTTTCCCCAACTTCCACAACATTTTTGTTCTTGCTCCTAGAGCAACACTGTATTACTTTCTAGACATTCACTCCCTCATCATGCTTCAACAAAAGGCAATGGCAGTTTTACAGTCCCAGGAGTGGACCTAAGACATTAACATGTAAAAAAAACTGGCAGCATACAATTGCAATTATGCATGTGGACAGGCAGGATGAGCATAAACCCATCTCTGACACTCAAACAATGCAACAGAAAACTCAGAAAAGATACATCTCTTGACATTCTCAACAGAGATACAGTAAAAGATCACCTCCTTCTGGAAGCCGTTGCACGTCATATGAACAACTCCAGAGTTCAGCAAGCACGTACCATCTGCAGAAACAATGAGTATTTGACAACCTTCTATACTCTCACAGTTATGCTATGACCAGTTTACGTTTATTAAATAGTACTAATTGGAAAGATATAACTGAGTACTCATTTTCTTCATCAGATCACTTACAACTTAAAAAAAAAAGAAATAAATTATTGTGTGTAGAAATTTTATCTCTAAGTGTTATCGAGGTGCTATGCTTTGAAATTCAGTTCAAAGTAATTTCATTTAATAAATCATCACCACTTCACAGGCTACATTACAAAAGCACAAGAATGCAAAATTCTTCAGACCAACAGGTACGTCTCACAATATTAAATATTTTGTTAGTACAACATAATGACTTGGGTTTGTGGGGGTTTGGAGGTTTTTCTGTTTGGTTTGGGTTCTGACTTACAAACAATTAACAGAATAACCAATAATGGCATTTGACCTTGATTTAAGCATAGCACTATTAAAAGCTATGTAATACTTACCAAAATTATAGGTGCTTGGATTAAAAAACTGCTCAGGTGGGGGATAAGAAGGAGGAACTCCCCGACTTAGACTCCGCTCATGTACCAGAATGTCCAAAATGAGATTTGGAGAAGTCATGCTTATTACAGTATCCAGTGACCACAATGCAAAATAGGAGCAATCATGAAGGAATTCTTCAGGCCTTAAAGAAAACAAGTGCATAAGCTAAACACCAATTTTCAAATTAATTCTTTGTAGGGTTATTGAAAACAACTTAATGAAAATTTACCTGAGTGAATCTGGCATTTGAGCATGATACCAGCGATTAATGTCAAATACACCCAAATAAGTAGATGGTTTTCCCTGACCATATGTATTCACTTGCCAACTGAAGACTGACACACTGGTTTCAGGAGATACCACTGTAAAAGACAAGACATGGTTTCTTATTTGTAAAAAATACGATATATCTGATATTTTTAACACACCACTTTCTATTTTGGCTTAATTCTGTTGTATCACTCATAAAACACAACATTTACTAAGAATAATTTAAAAGATTTAGGGAATAGCAAACATGTCTAAACAGGTTTCAGACATACTGTCCCTTTTTCTGTTCAAATTGTATCAGTTCAAAGCTAAAGACACATTTGTTTGCTACTTAAGCTCTCCATACATTGAGTTTAACAAGACTTTTAGCTAGATGAACAGTTCACTTAAGAAAATATACTAGGGACACATACATTGCTACTTTCAGAAAGTATGCAAATAATTATCACACACACTTGTATCACTCTGCTGGCATTATTTATTTCCAGATTTTACTCTATTACAAGTTTCAAGAACAGCTCCTTTCCAGGATATTCAGAATGAAAGAGCACAATTATCACACAGAATTAATTAAAAAACCCACCAAACAGGAAACTGGAATTATGATTTTAACATAAAACATTCACAACGTTATACTTCAGTTCTCTTAGTAAGCAGGACAGTCTGTCTTCTCAAGGGACAATGCATTCTCTAGCTGTAAGCAAAGTATGTGGTATATAATTTACCTTAAGAGAGTAAGGAAGAAGACAGTTAGTTTGCCAAAATGTTTCTCTGTTGAATTCATTATTACCCTTTAGGGATCCTCACACACTTTACTATGTTTCATTTTGAGCTTCTGTGCTATTTCAGTTTTGTTAGCTGCTGAAACTGCCTTTGAAGATATCAATTATTCCAATCATTCTGAAGACAGCTTCATTGCTAGCCTCAACCCACACCCAACTGACTTTCATGTGTAACTAAAACTTAACTTGAACAGATTCTAAAAAAAGCTAATTCAAAACTATCATAAAAATTACTGGTATCTCTCCATGTCTCATACTTCATAAAAAGGAGACAGAACTGTTCTTTTTGTTGTTTTGATTTTAGGGTGGTTTTGGTTTTTTGTTGGATTTTATTTGGCAGATGGGTTTTGTTTGGTGGGTTTTCATAAAGCACTCTCCACAGAAACATGAAGTGGAGAAAATCCAAAGGTGCTTTTATTAGATTTTGACACAGTGCTTATAGAGGATAGCACAGAAAAAGAGATGGAAGTTATCACTTTGAACTATCTTGAAACTAATAAACAGAAATATCCTAAAAAGATCATGCAAGTCTTTTCTTTGTAACATCAAATGTAAGTTAAGACCAGTAGGAAGAGAGGGAAGGTGAAAAACAGCCAGCTATAAGAGGAAGGTCAAAACAACCAGCTATGGAAGTTACCACTGCAGCAGGCTCAAAGATAAGGTCAGAGCATAAATGAGTTTGTAAACCCAGATATACATATTTAATTTTTGAAAGATAATGAAAGACACCATACGAGTTTTAACTGTGTAGGTGGACAAGAGAACTACTGCTTTAAGAAGCTGTATGTGTAGGAACCTAAAAATGGACAGGCAGATCATAGACAATCATTTAGGTTGGAAAAATCCTTAAGATCGTCAAATCCAACCATAAACCTAGCACACCACCAATCCCACCACTAAATTACTTGGCCTTCTTGAATCTCGTACCGTTTGCCGCAGCCCACCAATCCAGCCTTTCCAGACTTCTCTGTAGAGGCTTCCTACCCTCAGGCAGATCAACACTCCCACCAAACTTGGTGTCATCTGCGGACTTACTGAGGGTGCACTCAACCCCCTGTCCAGATTAATGAATAAACAGAACTGGCCCAAATACTTAGCTCTGGGGAACACCACTTGTGACCAGCCACTAGCTGGATGCAGATGCAGGCTAAGTTTGAAAGGAAAAAACATGTGCAGGTAACATCCTTAAGCAACAGAGAGAATGATCTTATTGTTCAAAGACAATAGGTGAAGGAATAAAATTACTGACCAGCATTATATAGATGACCCCAGCATACATTCCTACAGCATGTCAGCAAGCATAAAATAAAACCTAATTTCTCCTTCAAAGAGGTCCCATATAAATTAAGCACCTAATTTTTCTTTTTAAATACTCCAAACAATCTAGACTACAGAGACACTGGAGACTTTCAGAACAGCATCCATTGTCAGATTCTAAAACCATCAATTTTAGAATAATCAATCACAGACTTCCGAACAAACCTTCATTTAGGCTGTCTTCTCTGTCAACATGGTTGCGGAATTTTTCTACAGTCTGACAGCTAAGTAATTTGGTATTTCTCGTCTGTCCTCTCAAGGGAAAGATTCCACTCGTGAGATCTAAACTGTACCTTTCGTCACAGTATTCCAAACCCTGGGGAAAAAATAAAAGAAGACACAAAATGTCATTTTGAGATAAAAACATGTTATACCTAAAAATGAAAGAAAGCATGTATCTAATATAATATGCATGTTACATGGTGTATTTCCCATGAGCTAATTCCTGATGGCAAATACAAACCAAATCTGATGTGCAAGAGAATTAAATGTCAAACTGCAATGGGTAAGTCTGGCTGGAAAGGCTTTGCATATTTCCAAAATATAGCATTTCCCTAACATTATTCATATGTAAACATGTTTTGTAGAATTCCTTGCCATATCAAGGTTTCTTTACAAACCTAAATAGACCTATCCCTACAAAGGGATACCTGAAATAATGCAACACATACACAAACAAAGCTATTTGCTCCATGTCCTGACTAAAGAACCAATGAAGTCAGAGAAGTCATGGCATTACAGCAGCTAAAGCTTGAGAGGTATTACCTATAGGCACACCATGTAAGCTCATATCAGGTCCTCCTCTAATCTTGGCAGATACTAATGAAATATCCCTCAGTTCCTTCACCAAGCACAGCCAACAGCAAAAGAGGAAAATAGAGATGACATGGAATGCATTTGGACAATGCATCTAGGATAACAAATTGCTCAAAGTAAACTACGTGGAGATACACAGAAACCCTGGCAGCACTGCATTCAAGCTCTGGCATCACTGTTCCCTAAGTAAGCATTAGCTGAAATACTGTCTTTCTAAATACAGCAGTCATTCAAGCTGTTCACCATACAACACATGAATGTGTTGATTGTTACTCTGCAATGGGGAAAAAAAAAAAACAACAAATCAACAAGAAAAACCAAACAAACTAACAAAAAAAAATAAATGTAAAAAGTATATATCACAAGTTTCCTAAACTTTCAGAGCTCTAAAATGAACCGACATGAAACAGCACATTCTCATAAGATCTCATACAATACATTTAAATCACCTAATCAGCAATTTTTTTTCAGTATATTTTAAAGTTTCCACTCTGGGGCAAGCAAATCTAAGTTAAGGAACTTCACTGTATGGAAGACATGAAGTAGTGACTTGTAGTAAAACATTAGTACTAAAATGTTAAGAAAGTTTTCCAATGAGATGAACTGATCAAACTCCAAAATGAAACTAGAAACTGTATCTCATTAACATGGATCAACAGTAGATTCCTCCTTCTTTACAACCTTTTTTTTTTCCCCCAAACAAGCACACAGTACAAGATATTGAGTTTCCCACTAAGACTGTAACTAAAAAAAACCTTAGACAAAAAAGGATACAGCAAAGCAGAAGTTCAAAAGTGAAACTGGAGAAACATTAAAGAAACTTTTTCCCATCAACCTGCCAAAGTGCTTAGAGAACTTCTAGAGATGCAGCAGTGAACTCAACTAGGGAGCTCTGTTCCTCTAGAGCATGATATATTTATGTTTCATCTTTTCACATCCATGCAGCATGTCTTACCTCATACAGGACCTGTCCTGATGCCAAACGTTTTCTGTCACCAAATGCTAACTGCAACAGATGTAAACTCACAACATCACCTTCACTGAAAAAGATTTAAAGCATGGAATTTTATTATAAAGCTCCTTTATAGTCCTCACTATCATTTCATCAGACGTAGACTGATGTTTTCTTAATAGCAATCACTTGCTGAAATAACAAAAAAAAATCAACACTTCCCAAAACATGGTAATTCCACATTCTGATTTGACTTATTAGACAAGCAAGAGACCATTGACTTTTCTGCTGAAGAGTGATTGTTCTCTGCCAAGTGAGCTCAACTGGCTCACTAAGGCTTCAAAGACTGCTCAAGCTGGTAGAAGGTCCCCTCCTTTAGGGAGCGCAGCCTGTTGTATCAGCACATTTAGTGTTCGAGATCTGCAGCCACAACTACTTTTAGGATATTTTAATATTCTGGTGCAAACATCAAACAGATCATAAAGCAATCATCAAGAAACAACCAAGATTATTTCAGAATGCAAGTACAAATACAGAGCCACCTGCTGCTGCTTTGCCTTCTTTCAGAAGGTAGGAACTAGCAGGTCCTTCTGCACTTGAAAGAATCCCCTGCACAACTAAATAAAATAAGTTTGTATGTATCAACTGTATGTGAACACATATTTTAAAAATTTAGTGGCTTATAGTAAGTTTTTATTCACCTTTCTTGTGTAGACTGAACAGCCCACAAGTAGCAACAATTGCGAGGATCATTCTCAGGCTCTTGAAAAGTCACAGCATAAACAGGAATTCTTCCTCCTTCTAGCTGAGAGTGATGTCTACGGGTTTAAAGAAAAAAAAAAAAAAAAAAGAAAAAAAAGAAAAAAGGTGAGCCTCCTGGTCCTAATAGCTTGTAGAAGGGAAATAGCATCTTCTGAGAAAAAAACTCCTTACATGCTTATCCTCAAAGTAGAGAAGATCATACCTCCATTTCAAACACATGAGTCAAGGAAGCAACTACTTTTTATGCAAGTCAAGAAGCAAGAAAATCACTGTCCCAACAAATGCAATAATAATGCAGTTTGTGTCTTCCTCTGCCTCAGGACAGTACATAAACGATTTCTTCAGCTGCCAGATAAAAGATTCTTGCTATTGTTGTAGCAATCTTCAATAATGAACTTAAAATGCATATCTTCTGAACAAATTTAAAACACCACCAAACAGAAGTAGTTGCTCATTCCTCCACTTGGAGTATGTAAAGCATTTTTCTTTCAGACTTACAAACATTATTTGCACCTCCACACAATCTAGTCTTGCCACCTAATTATTCCTCCACTGTCTCTGTATGCATCCCATTGCTTCTAGTCAGTCACTGCAGATTTGCTCAAGTTAATCGCTATCTAAAATTGGTCAAATATCTCAAGTCAGGCTGCTCTTTGGCAGATAAAAAATAATCTCTTAATTTTGCTGTTGTTATAAATTTACATGTGCCTTATTCTCATCTCGAAGTGTTCCAAGCAAACTTGCAATCACGTGCATCGCTTCCTTGGAATGGGTTCATCTCTATTTTGGCCAAGGCTGAAATGTAGGAAAGAATACATTTTCTGGCTACTTTAATCCAGGACACTTTAAATAATACTATCACCTAAATCACATTAGATTAACATATTTAAGCCTTTCAATGTATGCCCTAATTGCAAGAATTGGTTCTAAAAAATAATTTATAGAATTTGATTTATCAAAATACACACATTTCCTGGTTTCAGTGAATACTACTGATAGAACAAACTGCCTTACAATAATCAGCTCTATCACATCCTAACTGCTTGACACAATCCAAAGAAGCATGCCTTCCACAATTCCTCAACCCACTGATAAAATAAGGAAAACAATCCAAGTCCTCTGGGGAGAAGGTGGGCTACTTACTCCATGCATGACCTAATCATTATAACAGAAGAGGATTTCTAAAAGTTCCATTACTCAAAATTTCCAAGCTGAAAAAGCTCTTTAAATTAACATGCTTCCTTAAGTCAAAAAGTGAGACCCCGGCACTCCCAGGCAGGGCCAAATGTAAAGCCCTATACTTACTCCCTCTTCAAAGTTTTCATATTCCATAGTGACAGGTAGCCATCTGAACAACCTACAACAAGCTGATTGCTTCTGCTTATGTAGCTCAGGGTTGATATTGCTGTTCCTGAAGGACTTTGTAATTGAAAACAAAGATGTCTCCCTTCTCTGGTCACAGTTTCTCTTCTTTGAGGAACTTCAGC